AAGGCACCATGCCGGCTCTGCTAGGGAAGGCATCAGCTCCTCCCGGCCTCATTGTTCCAGTCGCGATGGCCCCTGCCAGTCTGCACCCGCCGGCCACCAGTGCATGGCCCCAGCCGCCCTGCCCATGGGGCCTGAGTTAGGGCTCTGGCACAGGGTAAGCAGCGGGGCCACCCACCTGCCCACGCCCCACTTTGCCCAGTAGGGGTTCCCTCCAGGGCACCCGGCACTGGGACGAACTGCCACTGCCAGATCGCTGCAGGCTCGGGACGGTGTCCACACCCCATGGGTGAGTGTATGACTGGAGTGGAACAGGGCATGGGCTGCAGCCCAGGGACGAGGAAGCTCCGTGGGCTTGGCTTGCACTGGCTTAGGCCCTGCACTCCTGCTGGGCCTGACCTTGGGCCCTGTGCTCTTGCTGCCCCAGGCCCCATGCTTATGCCCCCCACCTGCCCATTCTCACTGTTGCTGCTGCTCCTCCCTGCCTGCTGGCCACTCCAGCACCATATACCAGAGCGGCCCCATGCTCCTGGGCCCTGCCAGCCTGGGCTCCAAGCTCATGGCCCCCGCTGTCCCCTTCTTGCTGCTATCGCTTCTCCCTGCCACCTCCCCCTGGGCTCCTGCCGACTGCCACTCACCACTTCCCTCACTGCCACTGCCACCACTTCTCCTCACGCCCGTGCTGAGCGTTATAACGAAATGCACTCAGTGCTGAGTGAAACTAGGTAGGTATTTTAAATGAGTGTTATAACGAAACTGCAGTAAGTGAAATCATGTTAAGCAAGGGTTGCCTGTATGCCTCTTTCTTCTTTTTCAAGAGGGTCATGATATCCCTATTAAGCCAAGAGGGCTTGCCAGCCCTTCTGTGTAGCCAGCACCCACGTGTTTTCAGTTACCACTGGTGACTAAAATCAGCAGTGTTCATATTCTGGCTGTTGGCCACACTTACAGTGTGGCTCCCAGGTTGAGTGGGAGTGGCATTAACCCCTTGGCTGCTGGTACCAACACAGCAGTGCTGGCAGTCATGGCCAGAAGCCAAGCTATAAGGAGCAATGCAGTCCTGATCCAGCCTGCAGGGCCAAATGAGTCTGACACGCCTGTTTTAAGACAAGTCTTCTACATTGTCTCAGTACAGCATGAGGAATTGCTGAACTCAGGCCTGCCAAATCTGCTACCTTCTAAAATGAAGTAATATGCCAATAGGCTCTTCCAGGAGGTAAGAGGGAAGCAGTCAGGGTGGATAAAAAAAAAAAAATCAATGATTTAAAAAAAAATAAAGTAAAAAAAGCAGATTTTTTTATATAACTCACATTTTTAATCATATTTTTTGATTTTTAAAAGATGCTTTTTTAAAAAAACAACAAATGGTTAATTAGTTACAGATAACACAAACTTATCATGAGAGGTTTAAATATATACACACAATCAAATATAATACTTTAAATATACATGAAAATGATCTAAAATTAACTTTTATTAGCTATAAAAAATTATTCTCCCTTGTCTATCCTATAACTTTTTAAAGTCTATCTGCCTCTCAATGGTGATTTGTTTCACCACTTCAATCCTTTCTATGATTTTAGGAATGTGAGAATAAACTACAGACTTCAGCCTGAAGAAAAGCTTATTCAGGTTCTCGGCTTTTTTTCTCTTATCCTCTACCAGCAAGTCAGAACAACCACAAGCATAATATCTCATTCTAAACTCCTGAGCCAAGCTAAATGCACAAGCTTCTAGCCTGTCTCAGTTCCTTGACTAAACCCTCATTGGGTAGACCGCCCAAGCAAAAAGATGCTTTTGACAGGCTTTGCTCAGATGCTTTAGGGATGCCATCTGGTTACTCCTTCAAATTCCATGATACCATCTTACTTTGGAATCACTGCCAGAGCATAAGCCTGCCAATGTTTAGTGATGAGGAGTCTAAGGATGTGTCTGAGGAAGTAATAAACAGTGACAGAGGCAATATTCCACTGACAATGCTGGGGACAGGGAAGGTTGAAAGGTTTAAGAGGCCTCTTGAGCAAAAGGAAGTCTGAAATCTCCTACCCCCCACCCTGCATTCCTATCTGTATTTCCAGGTAGTGACACAGTTTACTGTGGGAGACCCCATGCAAATTTTTAATGTCAGGCCTTACTTCTTACTAGACAATCACACTAAGACATAACCCTAATGCAAACTGGGCCTCTTGACCAGCTTGGGGACCCAGGCAATTGTATGGTTTGCATGGCTGTACTTCCATCCTTTAAATGCCAGCCAGCTTTGTGATGCAGCTACTTATCAGACTTCCCCAGTAAACTTTATAATGCGCTAAGCAGCTCTCACTTTTAGCTATTACCAGTGGGCACACAGACAAGCGATTGCTGGAAAGCTGGTCTGGCACTCGTTTTGCATGGCAAACAGCCACCTCCCTGACCAAATGAATAGATGTATTGCAGCGAAGCCTGCCATTAAAACTGGAGTGCTACCATCTGGCTCACGATATACAGGTTTCTCTTGCCAACCAGTTTTGAGCGTCTATGCTTTATATTCTATATACCATTTTGGCTACCATGGCATAGAGTTTTGAGTAACCATGGTTTTCTGTGGCTGTGCATTAGCCCGCCACCTGCCATTTTTCCCCATAAGCCTTTTCCCTTGCCAAACACGGGAACTTTCAGGAACCTAACCTGGGAAACTTGTAGAGCCCTCTTCAGTGTTGGGGTTTGGAGCTAGCTGCACTTTTGCTAAAGTGTAACATACGGTGTTTGGCTAAACACCAAGTACAGACACGCCGATGTGTAAGGGGTGCATGTGCACCCCCTAAGAGTGCTGGTACACTCCCTGAAAGCCAGCACTCCCTGCTTAGGCGATGGTCAAAGGGGGCAGGTGGGAGTGAGCACCAGTGGCAAGTGGGAACTTCCCGGTTGGCATGATTGGCCGTGGGAGGGATCCCCCAGTCACTGAAACTGGCTGTGGGGGGACCTCCCCAGTCGATGACTGGTCACTGTGGGGGGGTACATACCCCCCCCCCCCAACTCAGGTGGCAGCATTTGCCTATGCAGACATTACAAATAAACTGGTCTAAGTGATGAGAAATCGGTCCAAACCCATAACCCTACAAAAGTTCAGTACACACAGACCAGCCTAAAAACGCGGCGCCTGCTCTAAAATAGATGCACACCAGCAGCTCCTGATCTGCAGTACGTGTCCAACCAGCGGTCACCGGTTGGTGTTAATACACTTATTATAAATGAATTACGTGCCAAATATTCGCTGGGGGTGCTGCAGGTCGAACTGGAAAATGTGCTCGTGGCACTGCCGCTGCATGGTGTTTGCGACCTGTCGGAGCCGCTGACGTACCGCAGCACCCGAGGGCTGCGCTGGCCTTCAGCCGTGCCCCGTCTCCGCTGGAGGGCTAGTCTGCCCGCGCCCGACCGAGATATTTGCGCGGTGCGTGCCCCAGGAGCCGTGGCGGCGAGACCCGTGTACCCTCATCCCACCGAGCTGGCGCCTCCGGCCGCAGGCGCCGTTCGCGCCGACCGGAAGTGCCGACCCGGAAGCAGTGCGCGGCGGCCCGGCCAAGATGGCGGCGCCCAGGGGCTGAGGGACGAGGGCAGCGGGGGACACCACTGTTGCCGCCGCCGGGCCATGAATGTGGCGCGCTGCTGCGGCCCGGCCCAGGCTGTGCCAGGTACCGCCCGGTGGGGAGCAATGTCGCCCCGCTCTCGGGGGAGGGGGCTCCCTCTAGCCTTTGCTGCGGAGGGGTGCGGGGTGTGGAGGGCAATGTGCGGGGGAAGGAGGGGTGCCGGGGGTGGGGCGAGACGCTTGTCTGGTCCTTGAGGAGGTTTCAGGGCGGGTCCAGCCCGTGTCGGGGTGAGGAGGCGCCTCTTCTCCTGACTTTTGACACCCGCTTGAGAGGGCTGCGGGAGGCGGCCGGATGGGTACGGCTTCTTTGCACCAAAGGAGACACAGAGCAAAACCTGTCGACGTCTTGTTTACTTTTGCTTTTGTGCTTCCTTGACTTCCTCTTCTGTTCATTGCTTTCCTTTTTTGATGCGTGATTTTGCAGTGACACACGGCAGATTTACGTACTTGCGTGTCTCATTGAGGAAGTTCAGGAACGTATCCGAGCTCCTCGGGTGCGGAAAGCGTAGGGTCAGGGCTTGAAAGTGTAGGGTCCATGTTTTGGGGTAGGGATCCTGTTGGCTCGGTGGATAGCGCATGGGGCTCTTGATCTAGATTATGGCCTTTTGGAGGTTGCCCCCCTGCACACGTTATTTTACGTGCCCATACAAAGAGAGAGATTTTCTTTTTTCAAGAGATTGGTTTACGGAGCAGTGCTATAGAGGTGCCTTCTGTACTTTCTAAAACAATCTCCGCTCCTCTGTTGCTACAGTGCAGTTTTAGTAAACTTACTTCCAGACAAAAGATTCCCGTTCATGTTGACAGGGGTCACGTGCAAGAGTTTTAGTAATGTTCTCTATATAAATTCTGTTTAGCAAGTAGCTCTGTTTTAAAGGATCAAAATGGGAATGTTGTTTCATTCATGTAATAAGTTATGGACTGCAGCAAAGACGCCCATTAAAAATGTGTCTGGAAAATGCCTGTCAATTGAATTGCCATGCACTCTGATTAAAACACTTGTGCAAAATAGCAGTCATTTTAACAGTATTTCAAATACAGTACACTTCTCTTCTATATACTTTCCCCTTTTATCTGCAGTGAGCTGATATAATAATGTTTGGCTTAAAAATTGCAAAGCTTTGCTCAAGTTCCTGAATTCTTCACCTTTCCCCTTGTGCAGAAACATACGCACTTTCCTTGATTCTTCTTGATGGTAGTTGTAACATATCCCATGAAAACCATGCATTTATAACAGATTACTTTAGTGTTTCTTTAAGAAAGGAACCTCAGTATTTGTAGAAAGACATGTGCAAGTCATAAATTTATGATAAATATTTTCCCCCTAGTAACTTGTGATGATTTCCTGCTAAATGAATCATGAGGTCATGTATTCCCCTGGACCTGCATTTCTAGTCATTGGTCAGCAGAGCGTTAGGACTGTTTTCAGCATGTGAAGCACGTACACCAGACTCATAAATGTTTTTTCATAGTTTTGCTTTCCTTATTCCTATGAGACCTTTTATAGCATGACTTTTAATACTGAATTCTCCTGTTTTATGATGGTTTTATATCATCGATGAGACGCGTGATTCAATCAGGTTTTTAGGATATCAGTTACACAGATCTGTAGTATAGTTGGCAAAAAGTCCTGTTGATATGAAAATTTATCTCAAGTGCTATTTTTATACTTGCTTTAAACAAGTGAAGTGAAGGACTTGTTTTAAACAAATATTTCAGCTTGCTGGTAAGGTAAGTAAATTAACAGCATGTGGAGGCTCTGGTAGAGGAAGAGGCTATAAGACTAACTCCAAGAGGCACTGGGAAGTAAAATACTCGTCTCTTCCCTCCAGAACTTGAAAGCATCCTGCAGTCTCACTCAGCATCTCTTTCAGTTAAATAGCTGTTTTGCTTAGCCCTCCTATAGAGTGTTGTGTGTTATGGGGCACAACAAGCATTGTATCAGGTTTGTTTCTCATCCATACTGTGAAAAAGCAACTGGAGTCCAAATAGTGTTTCTTTTCTCTGTAGGCTTATTTGTTTGGCACCTTCAGAAAAGAGCGATACAGCATATGCCATGCAAGCTTATACAAATTTGCAGGCTAGCCAGTAAAAGATGGATTACATTTCAGCACTTTAGCTTCCTCAAACGAATGGTAAGTTAAGAGAATGGCATTATTCCATACTGACTGTTTTTGGGTGTTTTTCCCCCTTTTTTTCCCCTTATACAGAGTTAAAATATTTGTAACTTAAGTTGTGGGTGTAACTTGCTTTCTGGGGTACTGTTTTCCATTCCAAAGATGGATCTTGAATCCTCCTTACCTAGTTTTGCCAACTTTTTAAAATGCAAATTATAAAGCCAGGTTTACTGTTTGACTTCTTACATTTTGAATAGACAGAATCTTGGCAAAGAAAAGTATTTTTCATTTGTGTGTAAAACCACTGAGGTAGGTCCTAAGTTGATGAAAATAGCAGGTTAAATTCTTCTGTATCAGGTTAAGTTCTTCTATATTTTGTAAATATTCAGTGCACTAGTCTCCAGTATCACAAAGGCTGAAGTTGTCTCTAACAAACCCAGGAAACCACCTCTTCCGTGAACAGATACATCATGGATAGTGGTAATGCAAGATTCTCTTTAGTGTCCCTTTGGGTGCTTCAACCCTGTGCTTCAGGAACAATTTCTCTCCACAAGTTTATGGGTTAACTTCACCTCTCTTCTCAAGTGTGTCTGCTATGATTGCAACAAAAGGACCAAATATTTTCAGTTTTACTGATACTATTTTGGCTACCAATCCAGTGGAAACAGATTGATACCATTGCCAGTTTCATTTGCAAGTAAGGTTCCCTCTAAGGTGCATGCGTGCGCGGCCATGCACAACTAAAATTGTGGCTGCACACAGCCTTTTCAAGGCCACGCACCAGGAAAGGCTGGGGCAGGAGCCTGGTGCGGGCTCCAGCAGCTCCGGGGAAGTGCTCTGCTCCCCTGCATCAGGGCTGGGGAGTGGAGCACTTCCCCGGAGCCTCCACCAGCCCCCTGCCCCAGCCTCCATCCCTGCCTTGCCTCACCTTGGGGAGGAGCCACTGCCTGCCCCACTGAGGCTCTGCTGGCTGCAGGATACTGCTCCACTTCCCGGCCCTGACGGATGGGGGCTGGCACGGGCTCCGCTGGCTCCAGGGAAGTGCTCCACTCCCTGGCCCTGATGCAGAGGAGCAGAACACTTCTCCAGAGCTGGAGAGCCCGTGCCAGGATCCAGCCTCCTGGGCCCCAGCCTCAGCTCCAGCCCGTGGCTCCACCCCTTGGCTTCCGGCCCCAGCCCCTGGCCCCAGTTCCAGCCTCCAGCCCTTGGCCCCAGCCTCCGGCCCCCAGCCCTCAGTTCTCTTCGGTAAATGTCCCATGCCGGACCAAGGTGGTGCGCTCACGGACCGCTGCTCCTTAGAGAGAACATTGCATTCAGGTCACCAAATTTTTGTCAGACTTCTTGCCTTTTGACTTGAGCTGCATTCAACTAGTCATTCATTGGTGAAAAGCACTACATCTCCCTTCCTTACCTACATTGTTGCTGTTATATTTAACCTACATTTTTAAATCCTGCAAGTGCTGCCCCATAGTTTTTTAAAGCTGGCACATTCTTGATAAGTTGGGCTTGAAATTACATGAAATATGTGGAAAGCTTCAGAGAAAAAAACTGAAATGTTAGGGAGGCTATATGTGCCTTTTTATTTACATGATACTAACTACAGGTGCTATAAAAGAGTGGGGGAAGACTGTATAAAAGCTAATTTCAGTTTGCCATCTGTCTAGTCAGGTGGAGAAATGAAGCACTGTATGCAGTAACACCCCATTAGTGTTCATCTTTACATACTTTTCCTTTGAAACATTTTCTGAAATTGGCAGGTCAGGCAGACTAGACTAAAATTAGTTGTGATAGAAGACTAACATGAGGGGGAGAATTTTACTTTCTAATTTTTTTTTTTTTTTTTAGAAGTGTCTGTATCTTGGAGCACAGCTAGCACTTAATAATAGCAGATTAGACTGTGGGTGGTCATGTGTATATATCTCCTTATGTTTATGTTTGTTTAAAGCTTGAGCAAACTGTAGAATGAATAATTAAAATAAATAAATACCCAGTAGTTTAGAATAGGAAGTGAGGAGCAGTGCTTGCAACTGCAGCTGCAAGGGAATATTTAGTTATGCTGGTAGTAGTTCTCCAAGCTTAAGCTAGCGTTATTTATGCCTGAATGGAAACCAGGCTTTTGCCATATTTTGTGCAATTGTGGGTATTGTTTTGCAATTGAAGCAGTACTGGAAACAGTGTCAGTCATGTCAGCAACATGAAGTTATCTTCTTTAATCATAAACATTGTATAGCAATAAGAAGAAATTAATTATAGTATTCCTATTAATGTTAGTGATGTCCAGAATTTATTGATAAGAATAGATTTTTTTTTAACTACAGCAAGCATGGTATGTGTCCTCCTTTTGGGGTACATAAAGATTCCTTGTGGGCGGGGGGGACCACATGCATATCACAGCTGCAGTTCTATGGTATTCCTGCCCCCCTCCCCTCTCCCTCCCATACATATGCACTTCAGTCACTGCCACTTCCTCCTGCCATTGATTGCTGCAGGCAAGGGGTATTGGTGGTGAAGAACATGGTGGTGGCTCAAGTAGGGAGGCTTTTGATGGTGGGATGTAAACTTACAAGGTTTGAGAAATACCAAACTATTGTACCTCAAACTTAATTTCTCTTTTTCTATCCAGTATGTAACACAGTGCAACAAAAGCCTCTATCAGCAAGCAAAACCGAAGCCAGATCCAGTTGCACCTCCTTTCCAGGAGAGGCAACATTTGGGGCATGAAAAAATGGTTATACATAAGATTAAGCCAGTTTCACTTCCCTGCCTACCTTTGCCTGAGGCATCAAAAGGAGCTGAGTTCAGCAAAGCAAAGTTAGCTGCAGAAATAGAAGACTCAGCAACATCAGGAATAGAAGAATCCAAGGAAGAAAAACAATGGAAAGAAATGAAGTTACAGCTGGATGATTTACCAGGAATTTTAGCACGTTTGTCCAAAATCAAACTTACAGGTACTATTGAGAACTTTTTCCAGCTTCTGTGAATCAAAGTTCTCCAACTTTTTTTTTGCTTCAAGTGGTCAGTGATTCTATGTACAATTTTTCTTGTGGACAACTTCCTTATCACTTTTCATCCTGCAGATCATTCAGTGACATAACACACCTGGGTCAGCTATGGCAATTTCCTATAAAGAAAGATAGTTTAGAAAAGTATTAAATATATTTTTAGTTGATTTTTTTTAAATTAAGTTTAATTACAAGAACTAAGTAGAAGCCAGAGCTATGTAACCAGCTGTCATGTCACAAGGAAATATTCCATATACCAGCAGCAGTTCACAGACTTCAGTTTGAGAGTTCTCTAATCGTATTTTCACTGCCAGTCTGTATAAAAGCGGATTATCAAATCTATTATCCAAGCAAGGCAAATAAAGTATACTGGTGCCATTTTGCTGAAGTAATCACTTTTTTACTATTTTTAGTATTGTTTAAGTTGTAGCCATGATGTTATAGCTATGATGGTCCAGGAAAATTGCAAAAGACAAGCATTTTTGTAGGTAATATCTTTTATTGGACCAACTGCATGGTTGGTATAGACCTAGATAAGCTTTTGAATACCACAGTACCTTTCCTCACATTTCTGGGAGAGGACCAGACACACTAGAGCTAAATAGCAGATGGAACAAAGGCTTAATTTTTCCCATTTCAGTTTTGAATTTATCATTGATACAAAATATACTCTTATTTCATGAGAAACTTCTGTTAAGTTATAGAGGATTTTTATAAGGTTGCTATTAATTTTTTTTTTTAAAGCAAGTTTTTGTGTTTCAGTTTAGTAGTGCTTCTGGTCAGTTTTATGTTAAAAGCAACAAAAAGGCTAAAGTGGGTGCATTCCTAGCAAACCTGACTCAGCTTTGGGTATTCTCATCTTAGTTTCCTGAAATGAAGAGCCCCACACAGCTCCGGCCCTGACCCATGCAGATCTGGGGGCACTCGCCCTCCTTGATGAGAGGCGGGAACTGTGGTGTGTGCTCCCCGCAGCCTCTGGACAAGCAGTGGCTCTGTCCTGTGCCTGTCTTGCCCCAACAGGGCAGAGCTTGCCCCAGCCCCACTCTTCCCTCACCACAGGGGCCTTTGATTTGCTCCCCCTCTCCCCTTCTACCACACCAGACTTACCATCTTCACACAGCTCTCCAAGCTGCCGGGCTGGTATTGGAAATTGGATTGGTATCAGCCAATATGCCTCCATAAAATTGGCTTTCAGTATTGTCCCCAAAAATCTCTAAAATCTATTCTTCTTTTTTTCCCCCCAAACTGGCTAAGCAAACAACTTATTAAATAGTTCTTACAATTACTTATCAGTCTTGCTATCTTGCAAACATTATTGTGTTTCAGTGTCATGTTCTCGTAGTAGTTACATAGCACTTAAATCGCTTTTGTGGCATAGATAGCAGCTCTTTATTTTATATATGGGGAAAGTGATATACAGAGATATTAAATGGCTTGATGAAAGCCTCGCATTAAATCTATGGCAGAACCAAAAAATAAAAATAAAATATTTGGGATTCTAAACTGGTCTCTCCTCCACCAAACCAGAGTGTCTTCTTGGTATTAAAACAGCACTATAGTTTCATAATGATTCTTCTTTAATAAATTTACAAATGTCCTGAAATCATTTTACTTCTTGGAATTTTGGTTCTGCAGTATTTCATGCCTTAGCCTTTGTTTTCCACAAGAAATCTAACGTGGTTATTTCAGAATTCCTCTGGTTTTTAAACAAAAATATTTTATTGCTTTCAGCATCTATGAGACCATCCAAAATTTTGCACATATGGACCTTGATCCTAAATGTCTATCTAAATTTTGTTTATCACCTCGTTGGAGAAATCCAGATACCCTTGACAATGTTCTTCAGTAGAACACAAGAACTGTGGTTGGTTGACCCCAGTATTTTTTCCTGCCAAGGCAGGGTTCGGACTTGATGATCTGCTCAGGTCCTTTCCGACCCTACAAACTATGAAACTATAAACTCTGGTTTCCACCTTAGTTATGTATGTGACACATTCCTCTACTGGTATGCAGTGGTGTCAGTGAATGTTGAGGAAAATAGGAAGTCTGTTGGGAAACTAACAGACATTTTTTGTTGCCAGGAGTTGCTGAAGACTTCAGTAATGTAGCTTTGTGCGTCTCTCCAGTGACATTTCCAAAGAGCTTAGGGTTTTTAACAAATTTAAAAAAATGATGACACACTGGCTATTTGTAGCCAGTTATACTCATTCTACTACAGTCATAGCTTTATTTTCTCACTGCTGAGTAGCAATAGTAATTTGCTCTTCTATAGTACTTTTCATGCATAGACCCATGAGGTTCATGTGGGCCACCCAGTCTTGGTGTCTCTTCAACAAGATGCTTTTGTTAAGTGGTTCCTCTTGAAGAGCTTCAGGCCCTCCATAAGAAATTGAACTTGAATGTTAGGCCTGTGCGAAGCAGCTAGTATTTGCTCCAGATTTGGATGATTTGGGAAACAGTGATTTGATTCAGTGATATGAATCACTGTTCAGAATCAATTCAGCTGAATCTGATTTGGAGATTCGGCTGCTGCTGAATCTCCAAATCAGCCAGGCCCTTCCCCCCCCAGCCCGGCAATGGCTGTCCCGCCTGCCCCAGCTCCTAGCTCTTTGGGGAAAAAAACCCCCAGCTTACCAGGTGCTGCTGGGCAGGTGGCGATCCCCACTGCCTCACTCTGCATGGGGGCTCTGTATGATCCCCCCAAGGCCCCCCCTCCTCCCCCCCAGCTCTTCAAGAAAAAAAAACCCAAGAAAAGCTCCCTCACCACTCCTGCTGGCGGGGGGGTAATCCCCGCTGCACCATGCCATGTGGGGGGCTCTGGATGAGCCCCCAAAGCCCTGAGGCTGCACCAGGAGTGGTGTGTCCTGGGGCTTTTCTCCATTTTTTTTTTTTTTTTTCTTAAAGGGCCGGAGCTGGCTGGAGCTGGCCCAGGAAGAGCACCCATGGGGGGGGCATCAGGGGGCTTATGCAGAGCCCCCCATGCAGCGTGGGGGAGCAGGGATTCCCTTCACCCATCCAGCAGCACGCAGTGAGCACTGGGGCTTTTCTTTAAAGCGCTGGGACCGGGGGGAGGAGTGGGGGGGCTCGGGGAGCTGGCAGGGGTCCCCACATGGTCCCCTCCCCCAGCCCCCCCTTCCTCTGCCGCTAGTACTTACCAGCTCAGAGTTGGCTGCAGCTTCGTGCTGCAGCCACTGGGGACTGCCTGAATCATCAGAGCTCTCCAAATCTTTTCCAGAGATTTGGAGAGTTTTGAATTGATTCGGACCTTTTGAATTGGTCCCCTGATTCAATTCGGATTTGGAGTTTTGGCCACTGAATCGGGTCCAATCTCCTTTAAATCGAATCGCCACCTGAAGCTTTGCACAGCCCTATTGAATATAGTTAATCCAAATAGATCCATAAAAAATCATGGTGTGCGTTCTTTACAAAGGCCTATTGTGTTACAGCCTTCATAGATTTCATAGACATTAGGGCTGGAAGGGACCTTGTGAGATCATCTGGTCCAGCCCCCTGTCCAAGAGCAGGAAGTCAGCTGGGGTCAGAGGACCCCAGCAAAATAATCGTCCAAGTACATCTTGAATGTGTTCAGAGCAGGTGCTTGCTCTGCTTCTGGGAAGAATCTATTCCAGACTCTGCATACTCGGACGGTAAAGAAGTTCTTCCTTATGTCTAATCTAAAATGGTCTTCCAGCAGTTTGTGACCGTCAGACTTTGTTTTCCCTTGGGGAGTCCTGGTGAACAGACATTCTTCCAGGTCCTGATGAACACCCCGGATATACTTATAGGCTGCCACCATGTCCCCCTTGAGCCTACACTTAGCCACGCTGAAGAGTCCTGTGCCTCTCAGCTTCTCATATGGCTTGCTCTCTTACATGTGATTATGCGTGTGGCTCTCCTCTAGACTCTTGGGCTTCTCCACATCCTTTTTAAAGTGAGGAGCCCAGAACTGGATGCAGTACTCCAGCTGTGGCCTCACCAAAGCCAAATAAAGCAGGAGAATGACATCTTGGGTCTTGTCTGAGATGCATTGGTAGATGCAAGGCAGGGTTTTAGTTGCTTTGCTGGCTGCAGCATCACATTGGTGGCTCATATTTATCTTTCTGTCTTTTCTAATCTAGGACTGAGATGTGCCAGACCTGATGATTAAGAAGAATGACTTCCTTACCTTAGATGTCACTGTAGAAATTTAATAAACTATCAAGTAAAGGCATTGTGATGGGAATCCCTTAGAGATGAAGGATTCCAAAGTTGTTACTAAGTAGAATTAGTTTCATAACTTTTAGTGAAGAGGAACTTTAGGGGTTCTCTAAATTGTTCAAGGAGGTATAGTGTACACATGGCAAAAAAAAAAAAAATCAGAAAGATTGACTCCCAGATTCTATTTCCTTCCTCTCTGTCAATGCCTAGTACACTTCAAATTGACTTCAATTGGAGTTAGTGGTTAAGTTGCCTTAGTACCTATCTCTATCTCTACTGGAAAGGTATTTTTGCCCCTGAATTTAGGTAGATTCCTTTTGTACAAATTGTGGCCTCCTTTGTCTAAATGAGAAGTTTTTACTGGGGAAGCTATGCTGGTAGGTGAAATCCAAGCAAATGCCAGATGTGGCCATAGCCGTACTCTTGGATTCAACTTGATTCCATTTTCACCAGCCTCCTGGAGCCACTGTCAGTCAAGCAGCCTCATGTGCAAAGTGTTGGCATCAGGAGCAAGTGCTGTTTTTTTACTTACGCAATCACATCTAGTATTTTTCATAGATTTCCTCTGCCCTTGTGCTATGTCTCAGAACTATTGGTGCTCTTGAAGTTACCTTTTCAGGATACTGAAGTTCTTTCACTTGGGTAAGACCAGAAAAGTCTGCTCAATATACAAGCCATATTATGTTTCAGGAAACTAAAGAGCTACAAGATTATTGAAAGTAATGTTTAGAGCTAGGTTTATAGGCAGC